CCCGTGGCCGACTCTTCCCCCGCGGGGTACGTGAGCCCCGGCCTGGGACGCGGAGGCTGAGTGCGGACGCCAGGACTCGGCACTGACTCGGACACTCTAGGGCAGGGACAGGTGTTCGCTCCAGTGGGCCTTTGTGCGGGTGGACATGCGTGAATGAACGACAGGGGAACCGCAGACCATAGGCCACCACCACTACCCACCCACCCCGTCTGGGGGATTCCCAGACGGCTGCAGACTGTCCAGGTGTCTGTCAGACCCCCCACGCTTTGAATTGGTTTCAGTGGGCGGTTTACGGCAGCTATTTCAGGATAACGGGGAACAGGCTTGCTTATAATGTGGCGGCTGTTGCAATATGTGTTTGGGGGTCCCCGGGGTTCCCAAGGCATCTTAAGAGCTTTCTTTTCTTTTTTAAGGAGGACCTCTTTATGGATCTATGGGAGGGGCTCCAGGGATGGGGGGGGGGGCTGGTTGCTGTGGAATGCATAGCCTGGGGGCTGGCTCTACACCCCTCCTCCCACTATTCCCCTCTCCCCTCTGACAGTGCCAAGTGGACGGAGACGGAGATAGAGATGCTGAGGGCTGCTGTGAAGCGGTTTGGGGACGATCTTAATCACATCAGCTGTGTCATCAAGGAACGGACAGTGTGAGGGAGGGGTGGCTGGTAGAGAAAGAGGGGGGTGGGCAGCTTTCTTCCTCCATACCCACTGTTCCATCTTCCTCAGAATGCCTAGCTCAACATCTCTCCCACTTTGTTGCTAGTTTTCAGTTTTGTTAGCATCCCCTTGAGGACTGGAAGATAAAAGAATTGTCACAATTGGTCAGAAGTTATTCAAACGCTCTGTAATCAGGACCTTCCAAGATTGCCCGAGACACCCAGTAATTGAATTTGGTCACGGGAGTTGTCTGATTATTTACACAGATCTTTTGAGACTCGATTGCTGTGTTTCCAGGGTACTGTGATTCTGAACTAGTTTATCAGAATCCACCTGTAGATCATGGAGACTTACCTGTTTGCCTTTCACATCCATTCTTCTCTCCCAAAAGAGAATTAGGAGATGGGCCCTTCCCACTCCTCAGCTCAGGAAATTCACTCCTTACACTCGTCTACCCTGAGTGAGTGAAAAGCTTCAGGAAGATGAGACCCTACCAAAGGATTGGGGCCCTAACTTGGATTCTTATCGGAACCTGAAGGGGCTCCCCAGTATCCTTCAGAGTGGCCCATTATCCCTGCCCCACCCCTCCCTTCTCCCCTGAGCCTCTCTGATGATGACTCCCTAACCTCTCTCTTCCCTTCAGGGCTCAGATAAAGGCCACGGTGAAGCGCAAAGTATATGAAGACTCCGGCATCCCCCTTCCATCTGAGTCACCCAAGAAAGGGCTGAAGAAGGTGGCATCGGGTGTCTTGTCGCCTCCTCCAGCTGCCCCTCCACCAAGCAGCTCCAGTGTCCCTGAGGCTGGGGGTCCCCCCATAAAGAAGCAGAAGGCCGGTGAGGGCTGTGGAGTTGCTGCCTAGGAGTTAAAATCCCATCTGAGGTTCCGTGAGGGCACTGGGCTTGGATCAAAGAAGGACAGATCTCTTCCTCTCCCAGTGAAGGTTCCCAGAGTTGGGGGGTGGGGGTAGGAGGGAGAGTCAGGGAGCCTAGAACCTAGCTTATGCCCCTCCCAGATGTGACCCTCAGTGCTCTGAACGACTCCGACGCCAACAGTGACCTGGTGGATGTTGAAGGGCTAGGAGAAACTCCTCCATCCAAGAAACTCAACTTCGACCAGGGTAGGAGTCCTCCTCCTCCCACACCAGCCGAAGGGGGTCGGGGAGGACGTGTCATGTGAATAGGAGGGAGGGTCTGGCAGGAGTCCCCTCCCGTATCCAGGGGCTTTGGAAGAGAAGGTTCTCTCACACACAGCGCAGGTGCCTGGATCCGTAAAGAGCTGGGAGCGTTGGGGAGGCAGGAATTGCCTTGGAAGCACACTTGGGGCTCGCTCCATCTCGGCCATTTCACTTCCTGTTCCAGACAGCCTGACCCTGGATTCTGGCCTTCTCGTGACCTCCGCTCAGCCTCCTCTGCTGTCTCGCTGAGCCCTCCACCTCTGACCCCTCTCACTGTTTACCCTGGACCTGTGGATCGCCTGGGACTCTGAGCAAGGCCTGCCCGAGAGAGGGTCAAAGGACTGCCAGGGCTGCCCCCTGGCTGTCGCTGTATAAGCATCTGCCCCAAACCCTTTCGTGTGCATCTGATGGACATTTTTATACAGAAAAAAATAAAGACTTCCCTCTCTGCTTGGTTCCTTCACTTGACATTATTGAAGGACAGGGGACCACTCCCTCTCTCCCCAGCCCCCGGGGGCTCGGCCCTCGGCAGCTCTCACTGCCCTGCCTGGAGCAGCTCAGCCAATATTGGCAGGCTCGTCCCAGTGCCAATATTTCTGTGCTGCTAGAGCCAGGGGAGCAGGGTGTGGGGAACAAAGACTCCACTTTGCTCTCTGAAGGCAGAACTGACTCCCAGGGTCTGTAGCAGGCAGTACTCCTGAGACTGCCCTGGGGAGTTTAGAGGGGCTGTTTCCCGTGCTTTCGTCCCCCCCTTCCCCAGACCCCCACCCCCAACCTTGCAGGAAGGCCCCAGATGTCTGTGTCGCTTCTCCAGGGTGGCCTTCTGGCCCAGCGGTGCCTCCCCCACCCTCGCTCTAACACCACAGTGTGGTTTGGACGTGGCCACAGTGCCGTACAAACCACAGTGTGCTGCTGGGGCGGGAGCAGGACGGGTGGGTTGAGAGGAAGGGAGAATGAGACAGTGCTGGGAAGACCCCCACTACCAAGGGCAGGGAGAGAGAAGGTATCAAAGGCAGCAAACATGGCCCCCAAGAATGGTTGGGGGAAACGAAACCAGGGCGAGGAGCTGGGCTGGCAACTGGAGGGCGAGGGGCCTACGGGGAGTCAGTATAACAAGACTGGAGCCCTCTTCCCTCTGTAGAAACTGCTCGGGGATCCCTAGGGTGGGGTCAGAGGCGGAGGAATGGGAATGACACGGGGGCCAACAAACTCCCGAGTCACAGGGCAGGGACCCAAGGCTTCCTGTGTCCGATCCTCCCTCTCTGGGTCAGAACCCAAGAGAAAGTCAGGAGACAGGAGGCCAAGACCAGCAGGGTTGGAGTTGGCAATCCAGAGGTGGTGGGGCCAGAGCGTGGCTGGGAGAGGGGGGCAGGCAGAGGGGGGCCGGAAGTGGCCCTGGGCCTGGCCTGCCTCAAGATGGAGGCCACAGGCAGGAAATGGAGGCCGGGGGTGGAGGTGGGGGGATAGGAGAGCAGCAGGGCCAGGAAGGGGCCATCTGGACCTGGGGGCCAGGTATCCAGCCCCCAGCTCTGCTTCCACGCCCCATGGCCCCCCAGGACCCAAGTCCACCCAGCGCAACAGCCCCCACCCGCCGCCCGCCAGGCTCAGGAGTGGGCCCACCCCAGAAAGCCACGTTTCAGCCGAGTCGGCCTCCCCACCCCCACCGAGGCCTTCCCGCAGCCCTTCTCTCCTGTCCAGTATTTGATTTCTTAAAAGCACACCCCAGAAATCAACATCCAAGGGGCAAAATCCCTCCTGCAATCAAAACGATGTCCTCTAAACCCCCAAAGTTACCCTCCCACCTCCCAGCCCACCCTTCACCACCCTACCTTTCGACACACCCCCCAAAACTCTTAGCAATAAAAAAGATCTAAGACGGTAGGTGTACGCAGGCTTTTTAGGCCCTGGGGGTGCCAGACCCCTCTGACACCCCTATCGCTCCTGCATCAAATCTTGCCACAGCCTCCTGCTCCTCATCCTACCCCCCAGAGTCCCTCAGTTGAACAGCTGCCCCCAGCTCCCATCCTTGGCAGAGCTTTTGTGGGGGTGAAACAGAAATCAAACACTTTACTAACGGCTGGGGATGTTGGGGCGCCCTCTGTTCTCAGCCTTTGGTTTCCACCTGGGGGACTACACTTTAGGGCCATAAGAGAAAACCTCTCCAATTACCCCCCCAGTTCCAAGACTGACAAAGCCCAACCCCACCCCAGCACGCACCTCCAAACCGCCCCCCCCCAACCGCCACGTCTCTCCTGAAAACAGGGGACACTTTCCTCCCCACTTACCTCAGCTACTCTCCCCTGAGATCCTGGTCCCCTATTTTGAAGGGAGCAAAATTTGGGGTGCATCCCTCACATTTGGGGTGCAGGAGAAAGGAGCCGCCCCAGTCGCATCGCTGGCCTCCTTCCTCTCGGCTGGCTCAGGGAGTGGGGAGTGCCCTAGGGAGGGGGGACCCCCACAAGCGAGCTGAAGAGGGGGTTCCTCCACTCCCAGTCAGAACTGGGGACACCCCCCCAAACCCGTCCCAGCCCATCCGTGTCCAACTCGGCGGGAGAGGCAGCTGCAATGCCCCAGTCAGATTCCCCCAACACTACATTCCTCACCCCATCTAGAGGGGTCCCGGGGCCCCCAAAAAATCCCCAAAAAATCCAGGATGTTGGCAGGACGGTCCTGGACTATCTCTCCAAATTTGGGGTCCTCAGATAGCCCCGTTTTTTCAGGAAAATTCTGTCTTTCGCCTGCCTCCCGCCAGCCCTGCTCTGTCCCGATGCCAATTTTGGAAGTCACTCCCTCCTTCCTCCTCCCGGTCTCTCCAGGCTCCCCCCCGCTCGGGGGCTGGGGTCCAGGACACCTGGCTTCCATACCGGGGGGCACTCCTTGAAGGGCTAGGGGCCAGGAGGTCAAGCGCCTAGCCCCAGTCTTGGGGAAGCAGGAAAGCCCGATCCTCCCTTCCCCTCCCCCCTGGCTGGTCTCGGTGGTGGTTCAGGAAAGCCTGGAGGATTGGAATCTGCCATTGCTGTTGCACAGGCAGTTTTTTTCCCTTGGGTTGTGGGGGTGGGCGGTGGGAGGGAGAGCGGGGAGGAGAGCCGCACAGAGCAGGGACCCAGGCATGCAGAGCTGGCCTGGCTTGCCCCCTCGCCCCTGCTGCCGTGGGGAACCCCTCCCCCCACCTCACCCACACTCCCAGTTCTCCTTCGGCTTTCTGTTTGGGGCTCTTATCTAGAAAATCAGGGTACAAGAATCACCTCCTTGTACCCAACCACCACCTCTCCTTGCCACAGTTCCAACAGCTCTGACCTATTCAGGGGTGTCCACTTTACCACAAGACACCCCATTTTCTCCACCTTCTCCCAAACTGAGGTGTGCTCCCTTAAGAAATTGGGGTTCGGAGTCTAAAATCACCTTTTCTCCCTCAGACCTATTTGGACCACATAGAAATAAGAGGAAATGCATTCCTTCCCAAATTTCTCCCATCAAATCCTGGGCATACTTGGGGTTCACTAAAGAAAGATTTCTAGAATCTGGGGTGCAAAGGAGCTATATATAAGCAAAGGACAACTAAATGTGCTCCATATTAAGTAACACCCCTAATTCAATCTCACCTTATGATCCATCCCTCAGTTTCACCCAAGTAAAGTAGTTGCCAACACCCCCAAATAAGAACACCCCAAAACTTTAATTTCCCACCCTGAGCCCCCAACTTGTTTCTGCCCCTGGATAAAGCTCCTTGGCCATCTGTGCACACACAGGACTATCCCCTCCTCAAAGTAAGTTTCTACAACATTCAAATGTACAGCTTTTCTCCCCCTCATGGACCCACAACCACAGAAGGCCTTCCAACATGCTCCCAGTTCCATTATGTTCCACCGCATAAAAATAAAAGACTCCAAACTGAATTTCATGTCCCCACCAGATCTACTCTGAGCCTTGCAACTTATGTGGCACCCCAAAACATAATGCACCCCCAAATCAGCATGAAATCAGACCATCTGTATACACCAATGACTATACATCCCTGAAACAAAACCCTCATTCACTTCCCCAAGAACACCTACCACAGTGGTTCTCAACCTTCCGAATGCCACGACCCTTTAATACAGTTCCTCATGTTGTGGTGACCCCCCAGTTTCACTGTTACAAATTGAACATAATTAAAGCATAGTGATTCATCACAAAAACAATACGTAATTATATGTGTTTTCCGATGGTCTTAGGCGACCCCTGTGAAAGGGTCGTTCGACCCCCAAAGGGGTCGCGACCCACAGGTTGAGAACCGCTGGCCTAGCAGGTTCTCCTGATATTCCAAGACGACAATCTCCAAATTGTGGGTGTCAGAACTTCCAGAACTAAAGCAGCTTCAAAATCAGCTTCATGCCTCCAATGTACCATTTGCCCTCAAGCCTGAATGCAGCTCAAAATGCCCAGAATAATCAAACTAACTCAACACCCCATAATAAGCATGCCTCCCACAACTGTCCAGATAACAAACTCAACTCCATCCTGATACCAAAGGGAGCCCCTAACCAACTCCCACCTCTGCACCGGTCAGAGATCAAAGTAATCATCACATCAAAAGCCACCAGATGGTCCCCAGTCCTTAGTGATCCCCATTCCCAGTGTTTCCACAGTTCCGTGCATGCCCCCCGCCCCCCCACCAAATACCCTCACATCTGAAGGGAAGGGCCCCACGCCTGGATATGCAATTTCCTGGGCGATGGGAGACTCCTGAGCCCAAATCCAAGTCCTGCTTTGCAGCTGGCTTCCCTTCTCCAAGTGAACCTTGTCGCCTGCAAACCAACATCTCCTCAAACAAAATAGGAGGGTTTCATCTGTGCTGTCTCCCAGGTCAGGGACTTAAAATTAGTTATCAGGCCCCTCCTGCCTTCTCTTCTTTCACCTGGGACGGCCCTGTGTTCCCTGCCCTTTGTTTACCCTGTCCACCTCTCATATTCATGTGCACTAAAAACTCACCTCGGAGGCAGATTATGGCATCTAGTTAGAACGGAAACCCCTGTGCTCCCGGGGCTCAGACCCGACCCCCCCCCACACACACACACACACACTCCTTGTCCCACCCATTTCCCTTGCTCCCACAGCCGGCGGATTTCTCACCCCGGGTAGGAACCCCAGCCTCGGAGGAAAGTCACTTCTGTCGCCTAACTCTCCCTCCCTCTGTCCAACCCTTCCTCGTTCCCTCCTAGGAGACGGAAGGACAAAATAAACCAGCGCAAAGGGGACG